AAATAAGTGCGTGCACTGTGCCGTGTTTCGGCGTCGATGGCAGAGCGACAGGAAGCCCGTGCTGGCAACTGAGATGCTTGCGTTGCGAGGGATGTCGGTGTTGATTTTGGATCGTCGAGGGTGAAGTGATTTTGCTGCTGCCCGTGTGTGTGGCCACTCCGGCGGAGGGCGAACACAAAAGGGAGGGATGCAGGCGCCTTGTGTGTGTGTGTGTGCAGGTACCATGCAACAACGGCACAACAAATATACTGCGACTCGGTGACCCTCACATAGCTGTGGTCCTCACGAACAGCCGAGGCACAGCCCACATCGATGCACTTAGTGGACGGAGTGAGGCATCTTTTGAGGCTCTGCAGGGAACAGGATGTGTTGACGCAGCCACGACGTGCATGGAGCGTCACGATGGCACAGTCAGCTGTGGCTGGTGGAATATTTACTTCTCGGAGGCAACAGAGAGAGAGAGAGGGCTGCTCCTGTTGTTGGCGTCGCTGCTGCCTTTTGTGGCCTCCCATGCCGATTATTGTCTGTCCGCTGATCATGGGTGGCATGCCTCCACTAGTGACGTCGTCTGCAGGCATTTCACAGCACCAGCGAAACACACATCACGTCGCATGCTTTGGCTGTGGACATGGTGTTGTGAGTGCAGCCGGCATTATTTTGCCCGACTCCTTTTCACTGCTTTATGACAAATAGATGCGTCTCCGCCCGAGTCATTCACTGCAGCTCCGTGTGTTGTACTGCCAGCACACGACTCTCCTGTTGTTTGGCGCCTGGCTGACAGTCAAACACCACAGCGTTGGGGCATGCAAGGATGTGGACTGCCGCTCACGGTGTTGGGCACCGCTGTTTGGATGCGGCGGCCACACGGGCGGATGTATTGTGGCGCAACCAAATGCGTGAAATACGCGGAATCACAGCGGCTGCAACAATATCAGCGGTGTGGCACCACGGAATATGTGAGAGGGGGTGATGCATGATGAATCACAGTGGGCGGCATGCGAGGGAAGTGCACCGCGACGGAGCGTCATCCCGCCCTCAGCCTGCAGGGGAATGTACGCCCACAAAATATATGGCCGAGGCACCACCAAACACACATGCCCTTCCATGCAGCAATAAATAGGAGCGAAGGTGCGTTCTGGTGTGTGGGAGTCCACTCACATATTATTCATTTCCACCACAACAAACGGTGAGGAATCAGGTGCCACGGCAACGAAAGGAAAAACAAACATCTATTGCAACGCTTTACCAGCGAAAAGCAGGAACAACACAAACCGAATTATTGGCTGCACCAACACAACTTTACAGGAAGAAAGTAAATAATAATTGTGTACCCTGCAGAAATCCCCAACACACGATGCAGGCATGAATGTTTACCCTCCGCAAAAACAACATATGCGGACATCTGCCAACATTCAAACAGAAACACAAATAAATGGTTGCTTGATTATTCCATTCACTGCGCTTATATTTGCGTGTGTTGCTGCTGCTGCTGCTGGTCTTTCTCCTTTTGCTTTCACTCTGCGTTGACGTGTTGTTAGTTCGTGCTGAAGGCTACACGCAAGTGACAGGAGTGATGGCGATGATGATGACTGGCCGTGTGCTGCTGGTGTGTGCCCTCTGCGTGCTGTGGTGTAGTGCCTACTGTATATGTACGGAAGAGGAGTCAGTTTCCCTTTCTCGGTCTGGTATTGGTGATTCTAGGACGGGGTCAGGCGTCTCTGGGGAAAACGGAGTGAAAACGGATAAAACAAGGACAATGAGAACTGCGTCTGAGGGTGATTCTCATCCCAGTGAACGAGATGTGTCAGATGGAGGAAGCTTTGATCAAGCAACACCCGATAAATCTATGTGTAAAGAGAAGAATGATGGTTCTACTGTCAAACCCTTGACTACCGATGGGGAGGTTCTAGTGGATAGTCAGGAAACCGTTGCCACTCATTTGAAAGGGACGGACACAGACCTGGCAGACCCAAATATAAATCAAAATCATAAAAATCCAAAAGCAATTGATGGTATTGACACACAATTGCCAGACGCTCCAGCGGCACCAAAAGCACAGCCATCACCGCCAACAGTGCCGACAGCGAATAAAACAGTGAACTCAAAAGAGGAACTGACAGCTGAAGAAACTCCCGAACATTCACGTGCCACACGGAACCCAAATGAAGGCAGTGAAACCAAAAACCCAACTGATCAAGCTCTGAAGCCCGATGCTGGCGGTATTGACACTCTGGCGTCGGAGGATGCTAGCAGTCCCTCTATTGACGACGCGGCAACCAGTGAGGCGACTGCCAACACTGCCCGTGTAGGATCCCCAATTGCATCCCTTAACAATACCGATGGAAAAAATGAGGGATCGGGCGACGGTGACAGTCCCACTCCAAGTCCCTCAGCTGCAGAACCTGAAACTATTACAACGGCCAAACCGACCACTCGTGATGTAAGCCACCCAAACAAAAATGGCATCGTAACCTTCACAGGAGAGAAGAATGCTCCAACAACTAACCCTAAGAGTGCAACGGAGGGCAAGGAAACCGCAGACGTTGAGAGCGACAGCAGCACCGCGGTCTCCCACACCGCCTCCCCTCTTTTGCTTCTTCTTGTTGTTGCGTGTGCGGCTGCTGCTGCGGTGGTGGCCGCGTGAGAGTGAGGGAGAGAGAGC